GGCAAGATTTTAACCGGATGGATTCTATCTGCATCCGATTCGGGTTTTTCCCGTGTAGATACATACCTTGGAATGCTTCGTGTGCCTGGGGTGCGCCGTTCTTGTCCGGATGCAACCTCAGCGCCAGCTTCCGGTAGGCCTTCTTGATCTGGTCGTCGTTGGCGCCCTTCTCTACCCCAAGAACGTCGTAGTGCCCCTTCTTCTTGGAGGTCAGGACCTGCAACCGCCAGAGGTTTCAATTCAACCCTTGCGTGAACTTCATGAGTTAATCTGATTTTTCAGCTTTTTTTGGCTTGTCCTCGAGAACTGGCTACTGGGGGAAGACAAGCGTTTCAATTGTGTACACCATGACGCCGGCAAAGACAATTTTGAATGCAGCAAGAGAGGAGAAACGTCCACGTGTGCTGGCGATCTTCCTCAACACAAAAGTAATCGGAACTGCTGTCAACAGGCTTAAGGGTGGGGGTGGCGGTCTCGTTGAACTGCCATTAATACTTGTATCCCAGGAAAAGAGACGCACAGGTATCTACTCGAAGCCGAATATGTACGAGAAGTGGGCCAGAAAGAGAGCGGTGGACGAAAGTGCATGTCCGCGTTGGCCAATGGGGTCGCGCAGAGAACGCGAAAAAGACAACCAACAAACGAGGTGTCTTTGAAGAAGGGAGGGGGGGGGATGACATGAGTGATGTTATGTTACGTGCCGCCTTCGGGCTTTTCGCCGTAATAATCTCTTTTCCATCGAAATCGCGTTTCGTCGTATCGAAAAGCAAGCACAGCGGAGCGTCACATTTCCATCAAATTCACGTGCTGGGGTTTCGTGATTTCGAGCCCTCGCCTCCAACAAGCAGGCAAGAAACCCACTCGGCGTTAAGGTCTACATCACACGACAAGCGACACGTGGCCCCACCAACCGCTCGTGCTACTGCTTTCTGCTGCGCGGGAGTCACGCGGGAACGGCTGTTCGTCACTCCTTCCGGTGGGCAAAAACAAAAGCACCGCCCGACACGGGCAAACGTGCCGAACGAAGCAATTAGAGTGTCCCGTCATGGCAGAGCGGACGCGAACGCGCAAGACGCCCAAAAAACGAGACAATACATGTCCGCGCGTGCGCAAAACATGATTCCTACTTGTATATGTTAACCCCCACCCCTCCACCCGCACAGCACGTGACCCCCGATGAACAAATATAGTACAGCAGTGCTAAGCGTGTGTGCTGTCCTGTTGTGGCCTGTTTTGCCTGCCTCTCGATGGCGACAAGCACCGCTCCGTGAGAGAGGCTCGCCCACCTGCTTAACCATTCGCTCCTGCTCCGGTGTGAACGCCCGTCCGCTGCCTCCGCCCCCTCCCGCGGCCGCCGCTGCCGCCGTCGCCGCCGCCGCCGGTGCCGGCGCGCTCGCCGTCGCCGACGGTCTCCGCCGCACCCCCGGCGATGCCCCCGCTCCCCCGGCGCTGCTACCGCTGCTGCCGTTGCCGTTGGCAGACGAGAACGGCGCCGAACCCCCCCCCCCTCGCCCTGCTTGTCTCCGTGCGGAAGATGCCCCTCCCCCCCCACCGTTCGCGCCGCCGCCGGCGGTGCTCCCGTGTCGGGAGCTTTCCTCCTGCTTGCTCTGCACAGGAGGCGAAGGGGGGAGCGAAACGGTGGCCGGGAGACAGACACCCGCAGAGGGTCAGCAGAGCAGCGGGTCTACGGACTAAGGCTTACCCAGCTCTTTATTCGCGCGCATCACGCCTGCCGCAGTCGCGCTTGTTTTACGATATTATCGTTGTTGGCTCCGCACTGAGCGTGCCCGAAGCACAATAACAGGAGAGGCGGGGGAGTGCTCGAGGGTCTTGTCATATGCCGCCGTGAGCGGTGACCCCGAGATATCAGTCTCTCCCCCTGCCGTGCGCGCCCTGCGCCTCGCCGAAACGAACAAATCCACAACACAGAACAACGGAGCTTCATCTTTGGACAAGGTGGGTCCTCCTGTCCAGTCTCCCCGTCCGCCCCGTTCTCATGGGGAGACCGCGTGGGGGACGTGAAACAACTCAATCCTGGTACGGTACGACCGACGCCTTTTCTTTAGTCAGCCGCTCAGCACTATCGACGACACTCCACAGAAGCAAAGACACACAAGACACGAGACGAACATGCGTGCAAAGCAGCAGCCTAAATAACACGTGCAGTTTTCTTCTGTTGCTCCCGTCCATGTCTGTAAATTCGGAGAGTAGCTCAGCCTCCCTCATAACCCACCCTCGCGGGGTCCCACATCACGGCCTTCGGAAGCATTCAGCCGCACGGAGACTGGCGTCTTTTCATTGGTCAGCCGCTGTAGCGCTATCGATCATACTCAACGGAAACAGGCATACCTTCGCGAGGTCAAGCAGGCTCTCAACCCCAGGCAGCGGATACAGTCTCAGGCTCTTCTCGAAGAACCGCACGGCCTTGCCGTGCTCCCCCTGCTGCAGAAACTTCGCGGCCAGATCCCGGCATTTTTCCGCCTCGTCCTTGTTCGCCAGCGACCCCTCCATGTTGGATCAAGAAAAACAAACCACGACCCCCCCCCCCCCCCCCCCCCCCCCCCCCCCCCCCCCCCCCCCCCCCCCCCCCCCCCCCCCCCCCCCCCCCCCCCCCC